GCAGCGGAGCTCCGCTCCGCAGTGGGCCGAGCGGCGGGTCGCCGCTCTCCGTGAGGCTCCCGAAGGCCTCTGGAGCACAGGCCGACCATCAGCGCTTCCTCACTGCTGGTTACTGTTCGTTTTCCTTTTTAGGGACTGAATCGGTCTTCATACAAGCTTCCGAAATAGGTAGGCTGCGGTGTAGTCTGGGTAGGGCTGCAGAGGCCAGTGACCTTGTCCACACAGGCTTTTGATGTGCAGTCCTTTCTGTCAGCGGCTGTTCACGTGGGGAAGTGTCGCTAGTCCTCGACTGGGCGGCTGTTTTGTGCTTTAATTGCAGTAGAGAAAAATTACTGTTCAGGTTCCTTTCCCCTTAGAAATAAGGAACTAAAAATCAGTAAGAGCATACTCGGGGCGCAGAATCTGGTGTGGTACTCTATATGGCCTGTTGCATTGTGTCCTTTTGTTTTCAAGAAATACCACTGGCGACTTTCTATAAAGCTGGTGAAGGGCAACTGTTATAGATACTTCTGTTGTGACTGCGAACTGCTCTTACGAAGTACCTCGTGGGCCCTGACTGTAGGGATGAGACAACGCGGAGAAGAGACACAGAGACACGGAGAAGAGAGAGCTGTAGGCAGAGACTTTGTAGTGAAGAGTTATGTGATCATGGACATTTCTTTCCTTTAGGGCTTTCACTTGTACACGTCGGGATGACCGCTACAGAGGAAAAGAATATCGGAGTGTGAGTATTTTACAGATAGCTTCTCAAGACTTTTTACTTGGCCCTGCTAAAAGAAAATCAGTAACCAACGTGTGCTTGGGCTTGCCTTGGGTTTCTTGTCTTGAAAGTAACTTGTGTCGATTGTTTCAGCAATGTGTGCTAACATGCTTTTCAGGCTGCTGTGGATTAATGTGGCACGGGAATTTGTCCTGCTGTCTCGTGCCTAAAGGCCCAGTGCTGCAGGGCGTGGTGATCAAAAGGCCCTCCCCCATGCAACACATCTGCAATCAGAAGGCAGCAGTTTCTTTCCTAGTCAACCTCGAAGATTAGTATTTTCAAAAGAATTCCATAAAGTGCTCATTATTGTCCCAAATCCCACCTCATTGGCTTCGATGGTTATATTCCCATGGGTTTCAAGGCAAAGGACTATGCTAAAATAATTCCTGACATAAATGTTATAAGAAGGTGTTCAGGTTCAGACACAGGAAAATGGAACATGATTTGGAGTTCTTGATATAGTTAAAATTCCTAAGAGAAGCTGACTCTCATAATATTACAAAACAAATTACACGGACCTCACTCTTGTAAGCATCTGGTTCTTAACTTGGGATGTGGCATGTTTTTAGAAGTGGACCAAACAGTAGTTTGCTAGTCAGGCATTGTTCATTGAGAATGACCTTTCAAAGAAAATTGCAGCCCAGATACCATATTTGAGTGTGATTTGTCGTGTAAAAGCAAACATGAAGTCCACATGGCTGCATAACGCACATTTCTTAGCAGTGGCACTTGAAACATTGGCCCAGTGCTTTTGCCTGGTGTCCAAATAGAAATTTCCTCACTGCAGCTTGGGCCCAGGGCCTCTTCTCTTTTTACCGTGCTCCTCTGAGGAACATCTCTCCCTTCTCTGTTTCTTTGCAGACGAAAAGGGAGAAACTGGGATTTCCTTTGTTCTTTTGCCTGATAGTGAAAAGGTCGCTTGGGGCTGTGTGCAGTGGCAACTGCATCACAGAATCTTAGAGATGACTATTCACAGGTTAAGGAAATAATTCCTTTTTTGTCGCTGCTGCACTGAATGTCATAGGCGTGTGTGTGGCTAGATGCCTTTAAAGCAGTTTTTATTCGTATAGGTGTTTTGCACACTAAATGTTTGCCCAGCTTTCGTTTTCAAAAGTGAGGTATAGTTCTAGGGTGTTTAATTTGGTATGTTACGTGTTCTGTTGTATAAATAGCTGCAGTGTCCTCCCTGTGCCTGTGTACTGCAGGGGCAGATGAGTATGCTGGTTATAAAGATGGTGGTAATTAGAAATAAGCTATTAAAGCTTGGATAAAAGGTTAGAAATCATTGCTTAGATGTACCAGTAGTAACTGCACCCTGGAAGTGCTGTGTATGTGAAACTGTCTGCACCTACTCATTTTTAGCTCCTTTTCCTGACATGGCATCTGCTCCTATTCCAACAGACCCGTCATAGTGTGGCATTCGCTAAACGCCTCCGCGTGGTGGGAGATGAGTCTAGGAAGAAATACCTCCAGTCCACCGGCGAGGCAGACAGGACTCAGTCCAAGGAGGACTGGACACAGATGAAAGTAAAGTCCTTAACAGTCTATTTATTCCCCATAACAAGTACTTCATTTGTGTATTCCTGGCCGTGTGCTGCAGGGCATGTTGGAAGGTAAACATACTTCCTCGCGCTTGTGTCGAGGCAGAAACGTGTTCCTCGTGCACCTTCTTCCTGTGTGACATGTGCTAACAGAGTCTGCCAAGGTGTGCCTGGTGGGTTGTGAGGGCCAGATCTTTGTTGCCTTCATTTCAGTGAAGGAAACTGGAATTTCTTCTTGTATTCAGCACCACACGTGGGTGTAAAGTTCAGCTGCCACCTTCCAGTTGAGGATTGATTTGGTCAAGGAGAGGAATTTTTGCCTAGGAAGATTTGGCACTCCAATTTCTCTTGCATGGCAGAGGCCACCCAAAATCTAAATGTTGCTACAAGTGTCCCATGCTATTTCCAGTACGTACTTAAAAACGTCTGTCTGCAACTGGAGTGATTCTGTGCCTTATCCGGAGATGGTGCATTCTGGCTTTTCAGCGTGCACAGTGACGCTCCCGAGTTTTAAAGTGTCGGTCTTTCTCTCATAGGTTAAGATGGGCACAGCTCTAGATGGCCCATAGCTTGGGGTTCATCTCAGAAGGAGGGACTTCATTTGGGGTCACAGAGAAGACATCCCTTCCCTGCAAGGAGCAGGAAAGAAAATCCAGAGCCTCTTGGAGAGGCACACACTTGAGTAAGTTTTTGTAGCCACCGATGCTGTTTAGGAAGGTAGGCAGATGGCAGGTACTTGAGGATTGGTAACTTTTGACAATGAGTGCAGCAATTGCCACTGGCTCTCCTCCCTGGCTGCAATGCTGTGGGTTTTGGCAGCTGCATTGTAAAATTTCTTGGTAGATTTTGGAGTCACTTGCCATGTAACAGTTCACCCAGAGCTCCCTTAAACAAACACACTGTGTCGCAGCAGAGAATTGCTCTTCATAAAGTAGAGATAAATTTCTACGCTTCCTTTTTTAAGCAATTGAACTGCTCAAGAAACTACTGCCCGAGATGGTGAGGTTTGAAGCCTCTCTGGAGGAGCTGGAACTCTATAAGGACGGGGGCTTGTGATTCACCTCTGGATTTGCGCACATGCAATGTAGCAAACCTGACTTTTATTTCAGCCAAAGCTTAATGTCACTGTCAGAAAACTGAATATGATTTTTGGTCCATAGTAATTTATGAAATGTGTAAGCCATTATATAATCAATTATATAATTGACATGTGTCTAGTAGATGTATTATGGTTATATTAGGTGTGTGTATATATGTGATGATTTCATTATCATACCATTTCACTGAACAGTGAAGTTCATTGGAGTGAAATCTGATTACTTGCATTTTAAAAACTTGCCCCCCACAACCCTTTTTGATTTTTTTTCACAGGTATTTTATAGGCATATTTCAACATTTTCCTTCCTAATCCACGAGTAAAGGGAGATGTTGGGATTTGATCCAAAAGATCTTACAACCGATTTTGTGGTGAAACAGAGAAAAACCGTGAGCAGCCAACTCACTGGAAAACTGTATGTTAAACGCAGAGAAGCACAAAGTGTTTGATGCTGTTAGAGTTCAAAATAACAAGGAAAAATGATGGGGAATTTACCTGCCTTGGAACAAAGTATGACCCCACCTGTACTCTCAGCTCCTGCTCCCCTTCCAGCGTGGCTGTGACCTGGGCTGACAATACCGCTTGGTGTCTCTGGACCTCATATCTACGTGGCTGCTGCACCCGGGTCCCCAGTACGTCCTGCTCTGGCCGCCTTCCCCGAGCAGTCTCAGGTGAACCAAGCGGGTGCTACAGACCACAGGGGCCTCTTGGCTGCAGAGCTGGGTGATGGGAGACAACAAAGCAATGCCCAGGATGCAGCTGTTCAAGCCAGCCTCGCCTCACGGAGCATTTCTTTCTCACCTGTCCATGGTTCTCTCTCTGTGTGTCTGTGGTCCTTTTTAAACTGCAGGGCTGGGAGGCCTGGCCATTCCACCGGGACTGCTCACCCTGGGAGCACCAGTCTCTACCTTGGGAGGAAGCAAGCTGCCACCAGAATAAAAGCAGGGTGGAGCTGCTCCCACTCCAAGGCAAGAGCCTGCAAGGCCCATCCTTTGGGGACTCGTCTTTTGTGTGAAGGCACATTGTCTAGCAGAGGAAGAGGTTGGTACCTGGTGGAGCAGGGCCAAGATTCCATTTTCCCCAGGCAGCTCCCTCCTCTGCCTGCTGTAGCGCTGGCCAGGACTGGGAGAGGAGGGGGAGTGTGTTCAGCACTGCTGCTGGAACGGAGTGGCCCTCTCAGGAGGATCCCGGTTGCTTCAGGACCTTGCTTTTGCACTGGTTTGTGTCCACAAAGGAAAGGCATGCAGAAGGCAGAACCATCACCCCAGCCCTGCAGTCAGGAGTCCATCAGCTTTCCCCACAGTGAACGTGGTTAAGGTCTCCTTAACCAAAGGAAAACTCAGCACCACTACAGATGTACAGAACAGCAATTTATCCACTCCGACACACTTTTCCCATTATGTGTCCAGAAGACTCCAAGTACTGACTTTACATGTCCACAAGCGTGGCCAAAGCCACACATACAGAGCAACACCAAGTTTTCAAGGTGTACCAAGAGAAACAAAGATTTAATAACATTATTTCTTAGACAACTGTTGGGGATGAAGTCAAATGTAAAGAAAAAATGGAAATGTAAAAAATCATGGATGTTAGTGCACACAGATAGAGAGTTTCTGCTTTTGAGCTCCGCAGATGTTTTTTTCTTTCCTCTTTCCCTTCTTGTGTGAGCTGCCTTTGAGTCAGTTATGTTATGTTGAGCTCTTGTGGGCACAGAGCGGTACTGCCGCTGTGCCCCGACCGGGGCCCTGCCCCGCTCCGCTGGGTGACGGGGGGGAGGCGGCAGCGGGAGCTACGGCAGTTCCGCGGCTGCCGAGCCTGGGGAGGGAGTGAGCGGGGCGGTGTCTGTAAATAGCAGGGAGGGGTGAAATAGCGTTAAGTGTGTAAAGTGACACGGCTGGGAGCAGGGACACTGCGCTAAAAGGAGCGGCGGCCGTGCAGGCCGGCGGCTAAGAATAGCAGCAGTGGCGGGCGGCAGATCAGTTTCAGCTTCACGGACGGACTGCGGGGAGAAGGACGGTGAGCAGCGGACCCGCAGCAGGCGAGGGGCGGGCACTTAGGTATTTTGCTAAGGTGTTTACCTCGGCCAGCACCTAATCGGGCAGTCCAAGTCCCCGCAGAAGAGGAACCGCTGCGAGGGAAGAGGCGCTCAGAGCCCGCAGCGAGCTGTGCACGCCCTCCCCACCGCCGCTCCCTGCTCCGCGCTGCCATCGCAGATTTGCGAGCTGGCACCACACCCGGGAGAGCTGGCGGCTACGCCCCTCCCCGACCCCTGCCCCGAGTGCCGCTGGGGCGCTCCGATAGAGGCTCTGCGGGGGCCTTTTAGGCGGGACCAGGGCAATAGAGAGGGCCGGAGAAGGGGACGGGAGTCTGGCGAGAGGGGCCCAGGGCGACCGCGGACCCTGCGAGCACCCCTGGCTCCGCCCAACTGAGCACCTCGCGCTCCCATGGGCCGCAGCCTCAAAGCTTCCGCCAATCCCGGTGGATTGGTTCTAGGTTATGGTTCTAGGTCAGGGTTCTAGGTTATGGTTCTAGGTCATGGTTCTAGGTTAGGGTTCTAGGTTATGGTTCTAGGTCAGGGTTCTAGGTCAGGTTCTAGGTTATGGTTCTAGGTTATGGTTCTAGGTCAGGGTTCTAGGTTATGGTTCTAGGTCAGGGTTCTAGGTCAGGGTTCTAGGTCAGGGTTCTAGGTCAGGGTTCTAGGTGGCCAATCACAGCCGCCCTTTGAATCCAGGCGCGGTCCCGCCAAGCTCAGCCCGCTCAGTCGTGGCCCGTTGCCGCTCCCCCGTTTTGCTGGGGTGCCGCTCCGGCCGCTGTCGCTTTGGGAGCCGGCGGAGCCGAGCTGCCGCAGCCCCAAGAGGTGCTGTTGGGTCCCGGGAAGGGTGGGCGGGGGCTCCCCGTTCAGGTCCCGGCCGTAACTTCGCCCAAAGAAACGGGGAGAAGGGGGGGAGCGGGCGGGATCGCGGGAGCGGGGCCTGAGGGGACAGCGGGGGGTCGCGGAG